AATTTATTTTTTACTGTTTGGAAGGGCTCTTCGTCAGGCCAAAAACTTCAACACTCCTACATACATCCCATTTACTTAAGATTATTGACAAGAACTCAAAAGGCTTTATTTCCAAGTTTCCTGTTTTGACAAAACACTGTCAACTGTGTCTATGCAATTCCCAATAGCTCTGGCTTTTTTTTCCCTTAAAAACCTCCACACTGATTATCTACAGACCTAGTCACATCAATAAATCAATAGCTTAATGATAAAATTTACTTGACAAATATTTTCAGCAATCTCCTTTGCCAATGAATCCTTAATAACTACTTATTGATCCGACGTTGCAAGTTTTTGATCTACTTCTATTGATCTGTCTCAACAGATCTTCCATTAGCATTAGACATTTGAGTACATTTGATTCTACGCTTTCTATAAAAAATTGAAAAAAAAAAAAAAAAAAATCATCCAGTATACACGATTCTAAACAGTCTAGATCCCTTACCAACGCAAGTGACAAGTGTCTAATTCTATTCCCATCGGCTTTATTCATAACAGGACTAGGTAACAAGCTGAAAGAAGCTTTAAAATATAAATGTAGAATAATTCATGAAATAACAGAGTAAATTAAACTTTAAATTAGACTATTCTCTATAACCTTGCATAGATTATTTCAGATCAACAAAAAAACCTTGGTTTTTCTTATTATTTTTAATACTGTGACCTTTTGCACAGGAGAATAACAGACAGGCCAATAGACTGACTCAAAAATTATCCCAATCTGAGCAATTCAATGCAATTGCAATGAAGCTGTAATCACTTTTCAAGCACACAGTTCTGTCAAAATTGACCTTTAGTATTTATGCATCAATAGCAAATACAAGAATGGTTTCTAATTCATCTGAAAAAAGCCGTGAAAGAATTATTCTGTAAATTGGGCTCTAGTTTTAATAATTCATTTTGCATTTTGATTTACAAGATATTTTAAACAGCACAGGTTTTTATATATGTTAATGAAAGAGAGAAAGATATATATATAGAGAGAGACAGAGAGAAAGATATATATATAGAGAGACAGAGAGAAAGATATATATAGAGAGAGAGACAGAGAGAAAGATATATATAGAGAGAGAGACAGAGAGAAAGATATATATAGAGAGAGAGACAGAGAGAAAGATATAGAGAGAGAGAGACAGAGAGAAAGATATATATAGAGAGACAAAGATATAGAGAGACAAAGATATATAGACAGAGAGAGAGAGAGAGACAGACAGATATATATAGAGAGAGAGACAGACAGAGAGAGAGAGAGAGAGACAGACAGACAGAGAGAGAGAGACAGATATATAGAGAGACAGACAGACAGATATATAGAGAGATAAAGAGAGAGAAAAGTAAAAGAAAAAAAAGAAAAGCAAAAAAGATAAATGAAAAGAAACACAGATAAAAGAAAAAAAAAAAAAAAAAAAAAAAAAAGAAGCAGTTTATTTGGACCAGTATGATCATCTTGGTTGCTATGCTCGCCTTTTGACCATTGCACTCTCCAGCCTTCTTCAATCGTCTGTCATGACCCTGTTCAGTAATTAACCCATTTAGTTTTAGATTTAATCTACAGGGGTAGATTATTCTCATTCCACTGTCCACATCTAGAGTTATCTCGTTTTAATTTTAATGCTTCTTTGTTATTTCTCGCCCGTTTCCACAGAGTCCAACTACACAGACCCCAGCCCAGGGATTGAAAGTGACATAAAGAACTGCAAGCTCAATCCTTGAGCTGGTCAGTGAAATCCGTGGAAACAGGACAAGCAATAACTGAGAAGTACTAAAAATAAGAACTAGACCTGATGTCCCTAATGCATGAGCAGTGGAAAAAGGGTGCCGTTCAGAATTCCCTGTAGGTTAGTTACCCAGATCGATGTACACCTGACCTGATGAAGGCCGGAGAGGACATCGGCAGAAGCGTGGAAAAAAACAACAAAAATGGGGACAATAGTCCGAATTGTAAATAAACTCCTCATCTCAGAAATTCAGACAGAAATTACTGGAACACTGAAGAATATTGTGACGTTAACTTTTTTTTCTTTTTTTTTGCCCAGATCCGAATTTATTGAAAAAATACTTAAGGTATCTCTTCTTTAAAAATGAAATATTATTATTAATAATAAATACTTGTTTGTAAGTTGAATGCTGATTATTTCTTGTGAAATAATATTCATTAGCTAGTAAAGTTAAACCTCATAATTACAAGGTCAAAAGAAAAAAAAAACATTAAAAATTTTTAATTTATTTTTCACACAAAGAGAAAAAGTTAAATTGGAAAACTATGTCGGGATTCCCCCCCCACACACACACACACAAAAATTAATTTTACTTTTAATGTTCAAATTTCTTTAAATTATACATTAATTTTTTTAATAGTATTTCTTTCATCTTCTTATCTCATTTTTTCCTCCAGCTCCTTGATTGTCATTCTACGATCGTTATGCAACGATAATCGAAAGTAAAGCTTCAGGGGCGGAGGTTTTTTTGTGTGTTTTTTTTTTTTTTTACTTTATACTTTTAAAATGGCGATCGGAATAACGTGAGAAAGTTGGGAACTATAGAGAGTTAAACTTAAATTTAATACGTTTAATAAAAAAAATATTAATTTGTAAATTCTGATCAAAGTACGAAAGGGTGTCGTGTAACCTTGCCTCCCCAAAAATAGCGAAATCTGAAATGAAAGGCAAAAAAAAATGTGCCCCTTTTTATTTTTTTGTTAATAATTCGAAAGAAAAACTCAGTAAGTCTACCAAACAAGGGCAGAAATGTAACGTTTTCTCTTTCTAGACGGTACACAGACAACTCGAGTCGCGCAATTAATTGTTTAATTATTTTTAAATCATATTCTTGCTGATTTTTATCGCAATATTCAGCTCGTTTTTATACTCTACGACCTTCTTTAACTAAGCAAACAAGACCCAAGTTACAACTGTTGTTATGGATCGGAAAATTAGCATTCCATCTGACGAGATTTAAGCTTGCTCACCGTACCCTTGGAAGTCTGGCCGGAATAGAACTTTCCTCTTTATCTGACCGATCAGAAGGACAAATAAAATAAAAGAACCTGGGAGATGTTATTCACATTAAGCTTCCTTCGTCTGCAAACCAGAAAGAACCATTTACCCACTGCTAGTGCGAGATGTAAGTGTTAAAAAAAAAAAAAACCCCTTGGCTTTGGGTTTTTTTACTTCAGTTTAGTTAAAAGTGACCATTTCTAGTTGCAATAACTTTAATGCTTATAGACAAGAAGACTGTGTGGTGTCATTCTCTCAAGTGGAGAAAAACGACCTCCTTGCCTTGAAAAAAAAAAAAAAAAAAAAAAAATTGTCCCACCCATGAACCCAACTGTCAAACATACGCAACTACTTTTACCACTGGGCAATATTTTGTCATTAAAATCGTTCTAGTTTACACAGTAAATAACCTCTTTAAAAAAAAATAATGAATAACTGTTTCCAATGATGGAAAGAAAAAAAATGCAACTTGTGTCCATAACAAAAATTGAGGTTTAAAGGGGAGGAGGAATCCTTCAAAAACATGTTTTAGAGAGTTTATATTTTCAATCAATAACAATTTGTACTTAATGTATGAATTTGTAAAATTTTAAGTTGTACTTTTTAACTTTTCGTAAGTAATCCAATAAGTAATCTCATATCGCGTGAGTAAACTAGGATAGAATTTCATTTCACCTATTATTCGGGTTGTTTTTTTAAGTACTCGAGTACTGTTTTTAACAGTTTACCTCCAAGAATACCAAGATGGATTTCAATTTGTAAATAAATTAAAATAATGATGCTCCAGTACACCTGACTATAAAAAAAATAAATGAAAAAATCCTAATATAATTTTTTGTTTTCAACAGTTGGTATATAGTTTCTGTGGAAATCGCAGATATGCCTTTTTTTTTTTTTTTTTTTCAACCGTTCCAACTAAAACTTAAATTTTAGTAAATCTCCCGCCAATTGAACTCCTTTCTTAGATGAAGATCTTTTGTATCAACGAGCCTAACTGTCCCGGTACATCTAGGATGAGAAAAAAAATATCCATAAATAATTCAAATTCAAATTGTTACACCTTGAACATTGAACTAAGGCGTAACAAGAGAGAATAAACAAATTATTTATTATTATTATTATTATCACCGAGTTTTGTTGATAGCTTTTATTTTAAATTATGGGCGCAAAAAGGCAAAAATAAATACATTTTTTTTTTAGTTTGTGACAAAAATCTTATAACAAAAGAAAAACCGGAAATAAACATAAGTTTTGCTGTATTAAGTTGTATAACCGTAACCTTTAGTTTGAAACATTAGTAAAAACCCAATTTATGAATAACGTGTCAGCCTAGGCAACTAAAAATAATTACAGTGTAAAAAAAAAAGAATGAAAGACATGGTTACCTGGGAAAAAGAAAAAAAAAGATCATATTGTATCGAAAGAAAAACTAGAGATTTTTCCGACAATAAAACAAGATACAAAAAAAGAATAATTATTAAATTAAAAAGCAGCAAGATATTACGGGAAAAATGGGGGGTGTTATCAAGTATTTGGTGTTGTTGCTAGAGACAGAGTCGTACACGGTAAAACAAAATTTAAAAAAAAAAATGATTTTCATTAAGACAAACTCAATATTTTTATAATTGAAAAAAGAAAACGGTATTGCTATCGATACAAACAAAACAGGAAAAAAAAAAACAAAAGTCAACATAGAAGCTTTAAAAAAAAATTTCTAACAATGAAAATTGAAAAGTTGAAAACTAAAAACAGATGATCGAATTTAAAAATGAAATAGATTACTTATATAATTTATTAATTACATTTTTTAATTCATAAGCATCAAAAAAATTAAAAAATATATATCAAAGACACGACGGGGGAGGAGTTTTAAAAACAAAAAGGAAAGAGAAAGTGCTGCAGATTTCTTTTTTTTTTTTTTTAGTATTGGTAAATAAAAATATTGCTTAAAAAGATCACTGGTACCTGCACATGTTGTGTCAGTCGCGATGGAAAGAGCAACCAGGCACTAAACACCGCAATTTATACCAATGGACTGTTCCATATTTTCAAACGGTGTAACACGTCAATATTCCTAACAAATATTTCGCAGAAACCGCATCTACGTCTTGTCATTTTCGGCTGGATTTTTCCGTGAATGACTCTTAAACAACCCAACCTTGCATTTACCAACGCATTCATTCTGGAAATATTTTAGTGATGTATAAAAACAAATCCGTATACCCCTTATTATGCATTTATTATTTATTATATTTGTTTTTAGAGTTGAACCAATCAAATTGCTCACTTGTGGTTACGTAAAAATTACAAACCGCGTGGACTAAAGTGACGATTGTGTAAGCTAAGCATTCATTGTGTGTCCCGCATTTGTAGCTTGATGACAAAATTATCTTACATTTAAATTAACCTTCAAAACTGTGGGGATTATTATACAATTTATTCAAACTATTATCCTCTTCTTAATTGTTATAGTAAAAAAAAAATATTTCGTCGGTTGAAACCCCCGTTTTTTTTTTGTATGTTAAGTTTACCTTTTTTTTTATTTTTGAAAGATCGAATTACTTTCGGTTTGAAAATTAAACTTGCGTCATCAATCTCATGTAGGGAATATATCGTATCACTACTAACCTATTAATTGAGTGATTTGTTTTTTGTTTTGTTTTTTTTTTTTTTGTTGTTTTTGTTTTTACGGCTTATCAACTATTTGTGGATTATCTGAAGCTGAAACATATTTTGGAGTAGGGGGAATGAATAATGCAATAAGTCAACTATTTAACCCATAGCTGAGAAAGGGTGGATTTATAAAATTACCAAGGGTATTTGTAAATCTGACTGGAATTTAAACTCGATTCTCTGATTTCTCATTCTGAGCCGCTATCCATTTTTAGACACCACCTATACATAGATAATTCCTAAATTCGTTATTATGGTGTAATTTTTTTTTTTTTTTTTCATTTTTATCCATTGGAAACAGTACATACTACATTGCCTGACCTAATCTAGAAGTAAATTTGAAATTTATAAAAGTTTGTCAAAATACGACACCACACACCTGAAGAAGGCAAGCTGAAATGTTGCGACGATAACAACTAAGATGAGGATATTAGTCCGAATAGAAATAGGTTAGATTAATACAAAATTTATACTATAATTCTGACTGTATGCATGAACAATTACACTTTTTCTACCAAGGATCAGAGTGCGTGGTGGCTTGTGACGCCAGAAGTGGATTTTTTTAAGCACTTCACCCCATGCAAAGCGGGAGTGCCACTAGCACGCAGGGTGTTACAGAGGGTGAGAGCAAGAGTAAAGAGGCGTGTTTGGGAAGAGGATAAAGAGAAGGACAGGGAACAAGATCAAGGTATCAGAAGATATCGATTGACATTACATTTGAATATTTGTAGATTATAGTTTATCAGGGAAGCAAGCAAGAGGAAGAGAATTCCACAGATGGGAAGTGCGAGAAAAGAAGCTGTTGGAGTAGAAGAGACGGTTACATTTGACCGTTTCGATATTGAAAGGGTGGGTCCGAGATGCCAACCTAGTAGCTCGCTTAAATCCATGCAGGCATTTAGCCACCACAGAGAACCCTCCCTGCCTTAAATCAGAATGGCTGATGCCCAACTCCACGAGGGCAGTTTCGTTTTGGAGGCATTAAAGTTTACAAGCCATTTCCGGCTCCAGTCATTCACAGATTGGAGGTCCTTTTTGAGACCGGCGGTCAGGTTAGTTTTGTCAACGATACCAGATTTACTATTACTATTGAGGCATGAGTAAATGTAGTAAGACCTTAGAGGTTGAACCTTAAGCTTAATGATCCTTTTTTTTTCTTTCTTTTTTTACCTGGTTGCATATTACAATCTGGCACCTATCCTGATAAAGCGCACAAAGTCAAAGTATGCTATTGAATTCTGTAGAAAAAGATTGTCCTCACTAGCTTTCATAGATGCTTGATAAATGTTTATAGAGACCAAACAGTTGATGTGAGCACAGTTAGGCAGTGTGTAATACATTTCATCAGTAGCAACAGTGATATGTGTGACAAGAGATGTTGTGGACAGCTCTGTGGGTTACCCCCATGCCTCTACCCAAAGAGTAGACGTTGCCGAACATAGATAAAGGGAGCGTTTGCTTTCTTAGTCTTCTGTTGACTTTTGAATGCAATATACACGCGTGTCTATCACACACGTTTACTTCACACACACACACACACACACACACACACAACAAGCACATTTTTATAGCTAGTTTTAATGTCTTTTATTTTCATTACAATTGTGTACACATGCAAATACTTTTGTTAATACACACATTAATTGTCATTTGTTTTAAATTCATTGTTTTGTGTTACTCATTTTTACCCAGTGTCACATGAGTCCACCAATAATGTTTTGGGGACAAATGTTCTAGGAACTTATAAATATTTACTTTAAAACAACTAAACACAACATGTCCAAAGTGTTGATTCCCACAACAAAGTGTTGAATTATTTTTATCCCCAAATTATAACTCCCTGTAACAGCTCTACACAGCTATCAATTCATGAAATGCTAATTGCTGGCAAAAATTCCCATCCAATGGTTTATGAATATGCCATAAAAATTGTAATTTTTTATTTATTTACTTTATTTATTTATTTATTTGCTGAAAACTTACTCTACCCAACAATGGAAGCAGTATTGTTATTATTATTATTTGTGTATGTTATGTTTCCTGCTTTGTATTTTGAAGAGTCGGGTCCAAACTATGGACCTTAGGCCCTATAGGAGAATTGTCATTTAATTGAAGCACTTTTCTTAGTATATGGGACGTTCTTAGTAATTCGATCTTCTGGGCAACTTGTATGTTAATTTTACCTGGGACGCTGTTAGTAAAATTGTCCATTCCTTTTCTCATGAAGCCCAAGGCTCCAATTACTATTGGTACCGTCTCAGCCTTCATTCCCCACATCCTGTTAATCTCGATCTCCAGGTCCTTATATTTGGACAATTTCTCAATAATTTTTATGGGGGCGTTTCTCTCAGATGGTACTGCTATGTCAATAAGCATACACTTCCTGAATTTCTTATTTTTTATGATAATATCAGGTCTGTTGACCTTTATTTCCCTGTCAGTTTGAATTAGCATGTCCCAAAGGAAAGTTACATCATTATTTTAGGCAACTGTGTAGTTGGTGTGCATACCATCTCTCAGTGGTTTCGATTTTGTGCTTCTTGCATATCTTCCAGTGCACATATGTCGCTGCCTTGTTATGTCACTGGGTATATTCATTTTTTGCCAGTTCCGGACCTCCTGAGATAATATGATCGACAGTTTCATCATATTTTCCGCAGATCCTGCATTTCGAGTTAGTTTCATCCTTGAATATGTGACAGTGATAGGATCTGGTTGCAAGGCTTTGGTCCTGAGCTGCAATAATTAAGACTTCTGTCTCAGTTTTCAGCCCGGTGCTTCTCAGAATATTATTATTATTGCTGTTGTGTCCATTGTAGTTTCCATGATAATAAATGGGGGAGTGTAGTGGACCCCCTGGATGGTGTTATGGGCACGATGTGAAATGGCCCGAGAACCCCAAATCAATATGAGGTCACAAGAGGCCTACTAAGATTTTTAAATTAAAGACGTGAAATCTGACAAGTGAAACAAAAGAACAGAACAAGGATATTTAAGATTAATACAAAATTTATTTACAATGCAGACCTGAGTGGCCGTGAGTTAGATGGTCTGGTAATTGAAGGGCAGTTGGACATGCCGATGACGGGAAGTTGAGCTGCGGTCGCGTTGACGGTCGGACGGGACATGTTGACGACGGGACGTTGAGATACGTTGTTGTGTTGACGGTCGGAATTGTAAGTTGATCGCTATTAGTCATCACAGGTGATCGCTGCTAGTTGGTTGGTCGGGCTTAGATGTCAGGTAAATTGACGGGCAGAAACGGGAGGCTGGCGTTGTAGGTTAGATCCAGTGTCCGGTGCTGACGTTGCGTATCTGCTGGTCGAGTCCGATGTCGAAACCTCCTGTAGCATTATAACGGTACTATACGGGATAGGTTAAGTCAGGACAGCAAGCAGCAAGTCGGGACAGAATGCCGGGAGTAGAAATGCACAAGACAGAAGTAAAAATAAAAAGGCCTAACTAGCGTCCAGTTGGCAAACAAAAAAAAAGGGAACTTAACTCAATCCGCAGCCCGTCCAAGCACCCTGGCCAGAAAGGCCAGAGGCCTGCGTTTTTCTTCCTTCTCTCTCCAAACTCGAATTTGGTAAGAAGTCGCTAACTTATACTCAGGGAGATCAGCAACAACCACAGGTCTTGTAAAATACTAAAAATCTCAAGGAAAAATAAGCTGAGATTTGTTATGAAAAATGAAGGTGTAAAAATGATCAGGAAGTGTATTACGACTAAGTTCGTAACGCAAAAGGAACCTAAAACGTTATTAGATCAATTCTAAAACCAAATGAAAAATAAATTACATAGTGTGTAGGAAACACGATGAAAAGGTCAAGGTCGAAGCGTCGTATTTGTTCCAGTTTGGGAGCAGCCAACGGTGGCTGCGACAGGTGTTACTTTCGAAGCTACCCCTCACATATATCAATAACATTTTTTTATCATATCACGCCAAGCAAGACAATAGAATCACTAAGACACAAGTGGTTACTGAGTGTTAGTGAATGCAACAACAACAAAAAAAAACAAGAATTAAGAAGATAGTAATTGACAAATCAAAGAAGGAGTTGATATTAATATTGAAATTTGACAAGACAAGGTAAATGCTTTGGAAAACATTAAATAAAGGGTGTTTCATTAAGACGGATCAAAGTCAGCAGTAAATAAATCAGTGTTATTTGTGAAAATTTATTTACTTCTCTATTGGATCATGGCAATATTTAAGTCATGGCAATTATGCGTGAAAAATAATATCACCCAAATGTCCGCCAAGGCTTCGGCGGCACACTTCCGCTCGATGGTTAAAATT